AATAAGATGACCCTTGGGCTCCGGAAACCCAAAGGAAAAAAAGGCTAGGTGGCAAATGGTAAAACCAAGGTTGGGCATTGCTGGAAAAGCTTTAATCAAGGCGAACTATCAAGGGGTTCCCATTATAACCCAACCGCGTAAGGAACGCAAAATCCAGGAACATAACACCGATATGACGGAAACTAGGGCGGCAAGAGTGGAACAAAACACTAGGCGAGAGGCCGAGCCTTCCACCCTTTACCAAGTATATAGATGCATTAAGATAACAAGATAATATAATGATATCCCAACAAGTAAAATAAATGTTCCAATAAGGAACGGCCTTCAATCTTCACCTGCAACTAGCAACGCTATTAGAGGGGCTGAGCAAAGCGGTAACATAGCCAATCAACGGTTTGCTAGGACAAGGTGGATTAGAGGTTTGACATGGCAATTTGGGAGGCTTGAAAGCAAGTGGTAGGCATCGTAGCAATGACATAGAAAAAGAGCAAGCAAACTAGCATAGCAAAGATAGTAGTGATTTCGAGGGTATGATCATCTTGCCTGCACAGTTGTCATAGTTGACTGGATCCTCGAAAGCAAACTCAACGGGCTCCTCGTTAGCGAACTCGTCTCCCGGCTCTACCCAAACAAGGCAAACAAGCAAATAAGGATACAATCAACCATGTGCAAGACCAAGCAATATGATGCAATAATGATATGCTATGCGGAATGCGATGCGGGATGCAAAATGCAAGATATGACAGGAAAAGCATGAACCTAGACTCAACTTGGAAATCCAAGTGTGCCACTGGAAAGATGAGACGAAATCGCTTGAAAACGATATAAAGAACGCCGGAATCGGAGTTACGGTTTGGAAATGGCAAGCGATTCAAAAATGACACCGGTCTGTGATTTACAGCAAGTAGCCAACTAAATGTAATGAGATGAACATGCTACAGCAACCAAACATGACAACAAAATACATGGCAAGGATGCATACAAGATGCTTAACAAAAGTCTAGCACTGAGCTACGGCCAAAACATCCATTAACCGGTTCAAACAAGCATGGCAAAAATGCATATGACAAATAAATCTCAGACTTAGTGAAATTAACACTTCTCTGGAATTTCAGATCAGGTAGCCCTCTTCGGAGCAACACAACTACATGCTACAGGATCTGAACATGGCAAGGTAAAACATGGCATGGAGCTACTCAAAAATCTTAACAAAAGTCCCTTAGTGACCTTGAGCCAAAATGGATCAGAAAATACAATTGCAAGCATGTGAACATGGCAAAAACATAATCAGTTTTCAGACTTAGTGAAAACTGGCACATGCTGAAATATAACTCAAGTAGGCATGTTTACGAGCTCGATGCACTCACTACAGAGCAAGTCATGGCAAGACAAGCATACACCCATTCAAGAAGGAACAAAATGC